TACAGGCTGCCTCAAAAACAAAAGTTACTATTAAAAGTTTGGCCATGATAGCTAGAGGATTTAACTATTTCCAAATGTAAGGTGCTTATGGGTATTGAAAGTATAAATTAAACAGGTAGCCTCAAAGGAGATACTTTTAGAGATGATTTAATTTCAAATTTTAAGTTTCCGCAATTTTATTGAATAAATAAAGTTTTAAAGTAAGCGTGTTCTGCATTTTGACAGATTTTCTGTATATAGTTTAATGGTCAACACATTCTTCTGAAATTAAGGTGGACTATATATTCTTGACATTTATTAACATAAAGTTTGGTTATTTTTCTTTAAAGAACCAGGATTGTTACTGTATAAATGATGTTTTTCATACTGTTCAATTCTTAATATTACATATTATAATTGGAAAAATGTCATAATTTCTTTTTGTTTTTTTAGGGTATATGAAAGAACAGAAAGATGTGTTTCATCCAGTGTTCACAGGGGTTGGAAGAGCTTTGCTAGCACTTACAGCTAGAGCTAGTCCAACAAGATTGTGCCAAATACTGTAAACATTGTGTACTAAGTACATGTATAAAATAACCATTAGAAATAGTACAGTTGAACTCCAAGGCATAAAACATAGAAGAAATCAGTGATCAAAGTATCTGTGGATCTGAAAGCCTCTTGTAATGTCACTAAGTGGGAAGTAAATGTTATGAACAAAGACTTATAATGTGATTTACATGCATTTACAGAAGATAAAAATTTGTATTTTTGACCTTGTTTATTTATTTTAAAATCAAATTTGCGGATGGAGAATTATGTGACATATTACTACAGCAAAAGATCAAATCAAATCATCAATCAGAGCCAAATAGCAGTCTTAAAAGTCTTCACCACTGCAAAAATGTTGAAATATGGTTAGACTTCAATACTTGTACAGTATGGACCATCATCAGTATATGATCAGATACCTGCATTCAACATAGAGATTAAGTTTAAAGTTGTGTTGGAACACTTTCTCATGGAATGCTTTAATTACTTTATAGTATGTGTAATTTCAGGTCAAGGTTTTTGCCCAGATTTTTGCCCAAAATGTTAAGTTTTGTGAAAGGCGACAGCCTTATGGTGACATATTTCATGAAAACTACATATGTTTGGTGCTGCAAGTTGTGACTTTATCAAAAAGATGTAATGATGCGAAATTTTTACTGGTCATATGAAATACATACATGTGCATGTGCAATTTAAATTATATATTAAATCAGAATCTTTAGTTTTCCTATCAACACTCACATCAAATGGCTGTACTTAGGTTTAAAATTCTGGCATCATTTTCCATGAAATTTAGATCTTTTCTTTTACAATTTTGTAATTTTTTTGAATAATTTTTAAAATTAGCTGTTTCTGAAACATTGAAAATTTACTGTGTGAGATATTGTGTAATGCATTAAGGATGTAACAAGTTGAATTTTGTTGACTTTATTTTCTGCCCACATTCAGGCACCAGTATTTTGTGAATGATATCCCCTTTATAAATTTGAATATTTGGGGTATTTACAGCATCTATGTTATTACTGTTGGTTACCCTAAATGAGATAGCACCTTTAATTAATTAACAATGAGTTATATGTCTAATTTTTTCACAGTCTTGAATAAATGTAGATCTGCAGGAAATGTTATAATTACATTGTAAATGATTGCATTTGAACTGGGGGCATTTGTTTCACATTAAGCATCATATCATATTAGAAACAAGCTGCATAAATCCTGCATAATTATTTTTGTTTAGGAATATGGTTCCTGATCCTAAGTTAGATTTTTTAATTCAACTTGTAATATGTCTGAACTTACAGTTTTGCTTTACATGAAATTATTTATGGGATATTTGTCATTCATGACAACATAATAAGACTTTGCAGCATTTCTATACTAAGCATGAAATATCTTCTAGTGAGTGTTAACCAAATAAATTTTGTTCAAATAAAAGCTCGGGGACAAAATTGGCCCTGCCCAGAAGGGGTCATTGTTTTTCCCTTAATGTGTAAAGTAAAAACTTAAAAAAAAATTAAGAGCTCGAACTTAGATATTTATCTTGAAACATCTTTCAAATGGGTGTCTACCAAGTTTGATTCAAATAAAAGCCCCTGGGTTTAAATTGGCCTCGCCCCGGGGGGCCTATATACAGGTGAGCGTCTTCAGGGCCATTATGGCCCTCTTGTTTTTTTTCTTGTGAATGATTTTCTATGTCAATTATTTGAAGAAATTATTAATTAGTTAGCTTACAATACTTGCTGATAAAGCTTAGAAATCCTAAAATAGTTTTACTTGGTACAAGTAGATGAAAACTGATCTTTACCTTTAGTGTCTACATGTAAGTTATTTCTGATTATATTTGAAGTAATGCTGCGTCACATGACTATTGTGGTTAAAATAAAAACAAATTTGAAAAAGAAATTTGTTAAATTATTTACCATTGATTTACCAAAATAAGATAATAATCTGTAGGCTCTTGCTTTGATTTAATGCATATTTAGTAAACACTGTACAATGTAACAATGTGAATGGGAATCATGATTTCACTGAACATAGTAACAATATGACTGGGTATCTGACTCAGAAAGTTTAATATTAAACCAGTGCTGAAGACACAAATTGTACTTTAAAACCTGAAATTAAATATGCATTGCCTACTCAATAACTAGCTTATACCAACCTATTTATATTTAGTGTTGGTCAAGTTTGATCTTGCTGTTATTCTATTGTTACTATTGACTTAGGATGTTAACTTCATAGGCAGAGAAATATTTGTCAATTTATCCCTGTGATTCTGAGTGACCTTACAGCCAACTTATGTACTCTTTTTTTGTTATGTTTATGTGATCAAACCTTGATACATTATATTTAGGACTGTGGATATACATGTATGTTAAATCAATAAAATATTGCATTTGTAATTTCATATACACATTGTTTTGAAAATCAAGACTTAGAGGTATGAAATAAATTCATTGATGATCTACAGTGCAGTTATTATTTTTAGCTAAACTATTTGAAGAAAAATGGGGCTATCCTTTACACCTGGAATTCTTCATCAGTGTAACATCTTAAAGTTTTTCGTGCAACTAATGGCTTGCACTTCACCTTGGTTTGAAATCTGCATTATTTCATGTGTAAAAGACTTTGCACACTTTTTGGGATCATAAAAATGGTCACTTTCCAAGGCCAGTAACTCTAGCATGGATTTTGACAGAAGTATGACCCTCTAAACTTCTGATTTAATACAGGTTAAAGTTTTGCCTGCAAAATTAATCTTGAAACTTAATTTGTATGTTTGTTTTGGGTTTTACGTCACATCGACACAGTATAGGTCATATCGCAACATTCCGGCTTTACTGGTGGAGGAAGACCTCAGGTGCCCTTCCGTGCATTATTTCAGGCACGAACGGGCACCTGAGTAGAACCACCAACGTTCCGTAAGCTAGCTGGATAGCTTCCTCATATGAAATAATCCAAAGTCCCTGTCGGGATTCGAACCCACAGCGGTGAGGGGAAAGTGGGTTGAAGTCAACGACCTTAACCACTCGGCCACAGACGCCCCGAAACTTAATAATAGTATACCTTGGAGGTCACTGTCAAAGGTTCATAACTTGTGAACATAAATAGAATTGCAAGACTTGATCATATGTATATAAATGATATATTCCTTAGTTAATTCAAACATTTTCAATCAAGTTCTGAGAATAGTTAAATAGAACAACTGTTCTATTGACAGCCCTTGTTGATATTAATGGACAAGCTTGTGGTTGCTGTGGTAGTCTCCTGATTGACTACAATATTATTAAGTAGAATAGCTGAATTTCAAATGAGTAACCAATGCAGTTTTACTATTGATGTTTAAAATAGTGTTGGTTGACTTTGCACATATCTGCATGTAGTAGCCTATATATATGTCATTTTGCACATACATGTATATATCATGACTGTACAAAACCTGCCCATCCATGGAAAAAACACAGGGTATGAAAGTACGTCAAATATGATCTTGGATATTCTTAAATGGCCATCATTAAAGCTAGATGATACTGACTTTGTATGTAGTGTTCTATATAAGATCAGTCAAATTAATAATTTTTAAATTACTTTTTGTGCATAGTGTACACCTGGTGTAATGTTACAATAGCATGTGATAACTTCTTCCGCTTTATTCATACATATTTATAAGAATGGCTCTGTTTTTCGAGGGATTGGTTGAGTTACTGTCGAAATGCTTCTGGTCATCTGAGAAAATATAAGAAAACTAATTTTAACGGCCTGACGTGGACTTTCTTGCAGCCAGAATATGCATGCGGACCATTATTCGTATTGAGCTACCGTTTACGTAGATTCCATTACAATTGACTATCTATAAATAATATATCATCGCGAATTTACCATTTTGGTCGTTTAAAATAAACAATTTTAAGTAAAGTACAAATGAACACGCATTGTTTACATTACGGTCCGTCAAATTCAGGTATGTGACAATTCGTAAGCTAGTCACTGATTGGCTGAAGTGTAGACACGGATTTTCCTGTCTAAAAATAGAAATATCGCTCTGAACCTACAATTTTAGCAGAGGTAAGAAGTGAGCGATTGTGAAACATTCGACCGATGCGCAGGAGAGTATACGATGGTGAAAACACGATAGTTTATCGCGTTTTCATCATCGTAGTATCGTACTGTCGCGGCTTCATCATCGTGCTTTCGCGTTTTCACCATCGTAGTTTCGTGATTTCGCGTTTTCACCATCGTACTATCGACTATCGCGTTTTAGATCAACACATTCATAGGCGATGGCCCTAACGGCATTCCGTACTTAGCAGCCAATCAGAATTAAACTTCTTTCATGTAATAGTTCAGGATTAACTTGACAAGAAAATGTGACCTGTTAAAAATCTGTTGCATACATGAAAGGTCGGTGGTTCTCCTTTGTATAACTAATTGAAAACAGGCCGAATTTTAAAAAATTGGATTAAAAACAATACCGTTTTACCCTTTTTATTTCTAATCTCCTTAATCAACAAAAACATTTCTGGTCAGAATTCTTTCTCCACTCTTTAACAGATTTCTTGTTAGCCCTTTTCTCTGGTAAAATCTGTCTCTTTTTTAACGCTGTTTCTAACATTTCAACAGCGTCTAGATCTAGTAATTTCCAAATCAAAGTGTCGTCTGCAGGTTCAACAGGCGATTTTTCGTATATGACGTAGTAATCCGGATATGGAATTTCATATTGTTCACACTGTGCCCTGATGTAACCGTCAGGATCTTCTTTTAAGTAAAGAATGCGCTCTAACCATGCTTTCCAGGTTTGTTCTATATCCCCATTGATGTGCGTGTTTGTGAGCTCGTAATACCTGAATAATATTGCCAAAAAATATAACAAAAATAACTCCATCATAATCAACAAATACATAATTATGAGCCGCGTCATGACAAAACCAACATAATGGGTTTGCGACCAGCATGGATCCAGACCAGCCTGCGCATCCGCGCAGTCTGATCAGGATCCATGCTGTTCGCTTACCAACCCTATTACAAGTAGCGAAACTGATAGCGAACAACATGGATCCTGATCAGACTGCGCGGATGCGCAGGCTGGTCTGGATCCATGCTGGTCGCAAGCCCATTATGTTGGTTTTGTCGTGACGCGGCTCATATGTCATCTGTCTATTAGTGGCTTATAAGATATTTTACTATTTTATGGAAGGTCAGTGGTTCTACTGAAGAAATCTAACTTACCGTTAAATGGAACGTGAGGTCTGTGTAACTTTGAATTGGCTTAAGCAATCAAAAGTAAAACAAATTAAAACGTACCTTGTCCTCTCCAAAACACGTATAATAAGTTCATATCTATAACATGAACTATCCAATCCAATCAGACATACTGGCAAAACAGAAGACACTTCAAGGCCGTCTAGATCAAGGTCAACATCAGTAAGGTAATAAACTTCTGGATCATGTTTATAATTTGTAATGTGTCTTTTTGCGATGATTAAATTGTTTGCTGTCATTCCGAGAAGTACTAGTCTGGAATGAAAATTACCCATATAAATAATATATCCAATTAATATTATTCGTATGTTCGTTTTCATAAAGCTTTTTTGATCTATATGTATTATATACTTGTAAATGTACATATTTTGTCACAACTAATGAATGCATGTATCACATGCACAAATACGTTTCCACCGGATGAATTTTTTTATCACATACCCGTGCCGAATTTGTGACAAAAACGGTATTGCAGGGCCGTGCATATGTCTTGAAGTGAGGTCATTTTCGTTATAGACACCGCTGAATGTTAGCATTAATAGGCTCCTCAATGAAAAATTATTCTTTTGCACTAAGTCTTTATACAGTCTTTATTTTAGGTATGTGATAAATCATGCAACAATATTTTTCGAAAATGCAACAAACAAATATGATTGGAAAATTACGAATGACCGCTGAAAGGACTTCTGAAATTCTCAAATCTGTTTTAAAGTGACACCCTTTCGCACCTCGTTCATCTTCCTTAATATTAATAAGCAATGTATGCAGAGCCGAATGAAATTATGTTTCTTATTTTCAAAGTATATACATGTATTTTCTTGAAGAGCATGTCCTCTTAGATAAATTGTTAAGTGATTTGCGAATTCCTGCGCCGACCCGCCCCTCTACACTAAACAAAGAAACTCGCAAAAAAACAAAGACAAAATGTTTTCAAACAATAACCACTCGATGAACAAATAACTTTGTGAACATTTTCCTAAAATTTTATCATGAGGGTTTGCAATGTAGCTATGTTTATGTGTATAATTACATATTTACCTGCGCACATGATCTGTTTCAAACTCAAGAAACTCCCCCTCTGCAAGCACTTCATCTTCGAGTATTTTATATTCACCTGACCATAACAGTCGCTGTAATGTATCGGCTTTCTGAGCCATCCATTTAATCGTTTACACTCTCATTGTAGTCACTTACATCAAAACGTCATTGCCAATAGTGAGGAAACGTTTGTGACGTCATATGACGTCAACTAAAGTTTTGTATTGTCATGAAAAGTCCTATTTTGACGGTGTTTTTCGATTGCGTTCAACTAGCTGAAATGTAATACAACAGTAAAAATGTGAAAGAACACGGCCGGAAACACAGACCTATACAGTTGTCACGGTTCAGAACTGTTCTCTATTTAGGGGAGAAGATGTGTAAGCGGCCGGATAGCTCAGTCGGTAGAGCCGCGGTACGGTATTCCGAGGGTTTTTCTCACACTGTGATATAGTTAACCCGGATAGTCCGTCATCGTAGTCTTACTATATTATATAACATACTATTTTCTATTCAGCTCTCAGTATTTTGATCCCTAAAACTGACATATGCTAGACAGTTCCAAATTTAGAGCAATATAGTTCTTTTAACAACAAGACACAATAGTGACTTGAGAAAGTATCAAAAGTACGCAATTCCTTTTTCATTTGCGCATGCAACTGGTTCTTGCCACATCTCCGATGAAATAACTTGAATTACTAAGCTTTTGTTTACCAAATGATAATAAATATTAAGGAAAACTAAGTTGGTAAATTTAGATACAGGCATACTGATTTGAAATTCATTTTGTTAGGTATTACACTCTTGACATTACGTATTGTGCACTTACTTTAAACATCATCTTTGTCATTGCTAACTTCCCCTTGTAGGTAAAATGCTTTTTTAGCGCAACAGTGTTAAATTTGTTGTCCTGTAATAGCTATGATCTTGTTCACAAAATAAGAAGACAAACTTGGAAAGAAAAGAAATTTCTATTGTTTATATTTCAATGAATGTATAAAGAGATCTACATGTGTATTGGAAATTTTTTACTTTTATAGGATTCCTGTCTAACAAACACACAATGTGTGTAATCCTCTTTAAAAGCCATATTGACCTTCTAGTCACCCTCAACATTATTGTGTGCACGTTTAACGTAATTACGTATGTTTTTGTCAAAGCAGACGTAGTGTTCCCGCCTACCTCGTTATCAAGTAATTCGAGAAATCACCTAGTCCCTATTTGACTACATTATTCACTGCCTGTCTATACTTTGACTTCAATTTGACTGTAATACGAAACTTTAAAGGTGCGAAGCATTCTATTGTTGAGAACGCTGTGATGATAGTCTCAATACATTTCTAAACAATGTCACTCATAGACTCATGACACATATGAAGAGTTTGAATTGCCTTCCAAAGGGATACAAGAATATAGGACCATTTGCTAAGTTGTCAGAGCCCAAGAATTTTGTAGAAAATAAAGAGGATATGTATTGAGCAATCCATTTTGTCTATTTCTTCAATTTGGATCCATCTTCTATTATACAGGACAGAAGTTTTGTCAAATGGTAAAATTCAATAAAAGTGATCAGTCCTTCAGTTGAGGACTCGACCGATTGTTGAAAATTGTAACATTATTTGGAAAGCATGATTTGTTCGCACCGGTCAACACAATCTGTTCGACATACGTGTTTACGGTTACTACTGCTTTGAAGTGGTTTTTTTTTAAGCAAAACAACAAATGAAGAGGTCTCAGCACAGCGCGTAGCGCCGTAAAGCTGCCCACTTAGTCAAGTTTTAAATAGAAAAAAACAGAACCCAACACGGCAAAATTGTAAAATGTTGCAGGCTCGGTTTGATTGAGCCTGTTCATGGACGGTACTGGAAAGTGCAAGTTACACGCCCCTTAACCGGCTTAAGCAGAATTCAACATTTAAACACAAAAATGGTGAAATTTTGAATTTAGAATCATCCGCAGATGTGTTCAGACATACGAGTGTTTTAATACAACGCCAATAACGGGCCATTACGTGAAGGCATGCTTCTTTTTGTAAGTTAAAGCCTTACACTTCTTCAATGCATCAAATACATTGCTTAAGTCTTGAGCATTCAAAGAAAGTGTAATTCATTTTTCATCAAAATAGTCCGTAGTATATTAACCTGTGTCAAATTTAATCAATTATAAAATACATGTACACAAGAATGCATTCCATCTGTGATCTGGGTTACTGATAAGTATCACGAACCCACGGAACAGTAAGACCAACACTTGCAGCGGACTGTCTTCCAGAAAGTCCAATGACAACAGAAATATGTCTTGTTCAGTAATGTAAAACGTTTATGATATTAAAGGAACTCTACTGCGGTTCAAAGTTCTGAAAATATAAAAATTAAAAAACTTACAGATATCAAGTGAAGCGCTTAAAATAAAATCTTGCAAAGGATAACATTTGATTTTTTTTTACAATTCGTAGACGGATTTGAGGGGAAAGCGTTGAAACGCTTTTCATGTTTGGGTCATTAAAATTATATTTTGAAGAAAAAAAATGGATGAGGAAATGAGCAGGAAATTTGCAGCAAGTTGTTAAGTAATCTTTTCATCAACTATATCAATTTGTTGTACACAAATCTCGGGAAAATATTCTCAGTCCCATCACGTCTTAAAACATCAGTAGAGTCCCTTTAAATATAATATAACATTCCTCTCATTGTAAATGATATGATATGTAATATAACAGTGAGGGAGGTCATGGTTATTTGTAGTTAATTTTTCATGTTAAATTAGAACAGTTTTTTAGATGGACATTTTTACAAAGTTGCACAAGCGATACCCTAGCTTCAACTATCGGCCATCTTATAGTAGTTTTCAGAAGTTTGACAGAAATTATTGAGAGGCTGGTGTCAACGTAGATACTTGAACAGTCATTACAGATATCGTGTATCATTTACGGGAGATTTATGGCGTTATCTCACCAGAAGTCAAGAGCTTCAAGTGGGTATGAAACAAGAATTTTAAAGAGGTCTTGACACAGTAGGTACCCTGTTACTTTGTCAAAGTTTATATCAGATTTTAAATAATTTTTTTGAAACAAAGCCAATACTTTATACTTTAAGTGGACGCCCTCTGTGTCTACAAACAGAACAAAATTGGACGTTCAGTAATATAGAAAACGTAGATGAATAAATGAAAGGTGAAAAAATATAATTATGCTTAACAGTAAGGATGTACCTATCTAGATCTACCTAAAACTATGAACATACATTAACACAAAGTATCACACGTTTCATCCAATTATGTTTGTATCCTGTGTTTTACTCTTATCCACAATACATGTGCATACAAATTCACAACTCAATTTTATACTTTACAACATGCATTGTGAACAATATAATCAGAAATAAATTGAAAATCGTATTTTTGTGCGATTATTAAAAAAGCGTTGCAACGCTTATCAATTTTAGGTCATTTTTCACAATTGGGATAATTTTTCTGGAGAAAAAAACAGAGAGGATGAATGATCTGAAATATTTTCATATAAGTTATTGGTATAGACCTACATCAAATAGAACATTGTTCTCGAAAAACATTTTCAGTCCTATCATGTAAAAAACAAAGAAACAGCAAAAACAAACAAACAAAGCTCAGTTAAACCCGTTTTGATAGATAATGCTCATAAGGTACATTGAATGTGAAAGAAGTATAACATTATCATAACATTTAGCTCGTGTTTAAAAAATATAAAAATTTAAGGAATGATGTTTCAATTTTACTTATACTGTATATCTTTATAGTAAAGAAAAAAACTTTTATTGTTAGGAAATTGTTTAATTCTGAGAAAGGCTATACACTTTGCTTCCTAAATCAGTTTCATTCCATTTAAAGGCCCATTATGCACCAGAAATGCATTAATTTCTTTTTCTTAAAAGCTATTCATTTTTGATGTCTAAAGAATTACAAAAAGTTACTCATTACCACCTTTTGCTATATTCGTATTTGTCAATTAATATTATTTAAGTGATTATGGATGTCAGAATACTATTTTGTATACATTGTATACATTTCTCTACCTTTATCATTCAAAGTTAGTTTCCTCGTGTCAAAAGCAACTTACATGCTCTAAAACCGTTATTTAAAGGTTATAAAACTCATGTTTACACGCTCTGAAGATTGAAACATGTATTCGTTTCTAATGTGTAATATGCCTTTAAAAAGACACCAGCTTAGAACAGTTTAAAAGAAAAGATTGGTCGAATAAAAATAAGAAAGTCAAAGGCAATATAATTATGCAAATACATGTAATAACAATGATAACTTTATTCACAAAGTATTACAAACCCTTGAGTGACTTTATATACATGTATACAGTCATTTATTTGGCCAATATTCACATAAAGCTCTGATGATCACAATTCTTAGAAGTACTTAACGCTTAAAACAGTTACGAACACGTTGAGTTTAACTACAGAAGAGTTAATAAACAACTAACAAATAGCATACATTAACATATATTTAATAGATTCTGTATAGGACAAGTTATGTCAGGCATAAATTGCAACCAACACCTGTAAAACGCATTAAAACTCTCACAAATTGTTTAATTGTGTTGACTAAATGCACACGCTAAAAGATGCATATAAAATTTACTATGTAAATTGAACTGCAAAGTATACTTTACCATAAACGAAAAGAATAAAGGACCAAACTGCATCGTAAATTTCAAATAAACTAAAAACTATCAATAATTTCTCAAATTCAGAATGAAAAAGTCGTAGCTCGACATAAGTGCAAGTTTGTTTTGGTTTATTAATATCGAGACAAGCGCAAATTCGATGCAGTTTCTATTGCCATTTACTTTTGTTGAACAGAGGTCCACGGAACTTTATTTTAATGTTGCGGAATGAGTGATTGTTCACCCCGTACGAATGGAAAGACAAAAATTTTACTTATGTATTGCTACATTGATTTTCATAAACCTTAAAAGATAGATATACGTTCAAAGCTCTCAAAGGATCAGCTCATATATTACGCCAACTTATTCCAATACTTCAATGTAAAGCTATTGAAATCTTGCAATTGCAAGTCGTTAAAGACTACTTTAAAATGCAAATTTCACATGGTTAATTTTGTTATGATAAGGTTAAAAAAATACATGAAACTTACGGTAACAAGATTAATAGTTATTCAATATGTACGCTGAGAAAAT